AGATTTTCAAAGATTCCCTTTATGGGAGAAATTAACTTTAATTTTCCAATTGCCAAGACTGAGAGTTTCTGCTTTGTTTTTAATATGTACAGGGTTACACTTTGTCAAACAGTTTTATACTTTTGATATGACCAAATGCCTTTAAAAATAGTTTGTTGTTATAGTAAATTGAATTTATTATTTTCCTTTTATTTAACTTTAAAAACAAAATTTTATCAGCACATAAGCTGAGACCCTGTAACTTGGATGCTTTCATTATCATTCACATAAACTATTTTCTAATTCAACGTGTGATTTGTTTTTAGATTTGTGGGATGTTTAGCAATCACTTGTTATTTCTAAATACTTGGAAATTTTCATTAATTTCGAATTGAATTTTATTGTGGTCAGAGAACATAGTCTGTATGATTTCAATCCTTTTTAGATTCCTGAAGCTGACTTCACAGCCCTACATATAATGTTCCCTGTGTACTTGAAAGCAATATGTATTCTGTTCTGCCTGTTTGTGCTCTGATGGCTATTAATGTCACTGAGGTCAGAGTGGCTGATATTGCTGCTCAAGTTTTCTGTAGCTCTCCTGACTTTCCTTTGGGTGAGTCTATTAGTTATTGTGATACAAAGGACAAAGTGCCTGGATATAATTGAACTGTGAATTTATCTTTTTCCAGTTTAGTCAGGTTTTGTTTGATATTCTTGGAAGCACTGAATATATGCCCACAGGTCTACTTAATGACTGTAGCTTTTGAATCATTGCTTCTGTTAACACTTGTCCTCAAGTCTGCTTTGCCTGATGTCAGCAGATACTTTAGTTCTATGACTATTGTGTTCATCTTTCCCAGGGCTTTTGTCCTGACAATCTGTTTCTTGTGAAAAGCATACTGTTGACTCTTGCTTTATTACTCAGCATGACAGTGTCTGTTTTTATCTGGAGTAGTAGGCCATTAATATGCAACTGTCCAACCTGCATCTTACTATTTGTCTTATGTTCTCAGCCACCATTACTATTTGTCTTATGTTCTCAGCCACCACCCCCATTTTTTCATTGATATACATCTTACTAGGTATACCTCAATATTTTTGAATGGTTCCTGAAGCAACCTCCAATGTACATTCACACCGTATTTAATCTTTTTTTTTTTATTTTTTTTATTTTGAGACAGTGTTTCTCTGTATTGTTTTGGAGCCTGTCCTCGAACTCGCTCTGTAGACCTGGCTAGCCTCGAACTCACAGAGCTCAGCCTGCCTCTGTCTCCCGAGTGCTGGGATTAAAGGTGTGCGCCACCAATGCCTGGACTAATCTATTCTCTCCATTCGGCTTTGTGCCATTGTTTCACTCATTTCACATGTAAAAACCTTCCAGGAACGCCATTATTTTTACTCAGCGACATAAAACCTACTGGTAGCGCTATGCTCAGTAGAGACAAGAGGAGGACCACCCACTTTTTCTGCCTGCATTGAACAAATATTGGAAGTACTAGACAGAATTTAGGTATGAAAGAGAAATAAAAGACAGACAAGTAGAAAGGGGAGAGTAACATTACCTGTTTACAGAGGACGCATATATGCAGTATGCTAATGATTCCACAGAAGGAGTATTAGAGCTAATGAATAAATTCAGCAATTACAGGATATATAATTAATATACCAAAACTAAGCTGCATTTCGTATATGCAAACAATGAAACAAAACTAAAAATCCCATTTCCTATGAAACCAAAAAGGATAAAAAAAAAAAACCTTATGAATAATTTTAAACAAGAAAACGAAAGACTTATAGGCAGAAAACACTGGTGAAGGAAACAGAAGAAAACATAGATAAATGTAAAGCCAGTTTTGTGCCCGTGCAGTAGAAAATAATATTGTGAAAAATGACAATATTACCCAAAGTCATCTATGGGTTTAATGAAATCCCCGTTAAAATTCCAAAGTGTTATTCAAAACATTATTGTTTCTTTTTCACGCACGCGTGTGTGTTTGTGAGTGTGTGTGTGTGTGCTTTCTGTTGGCATGACTGTTTGGGAAGGGATAGGAGGTGTGGCCTTGTTAGGGGAAATATGTCACTAGGACTGGGTTTTGAGGTTTCAAAAACCCATGCTATTCCCAGTTAGCTCTCTCTGCCTCGTGCCTGTAGGTCAAGATGTAAGCTGTGAGCTACGGTCCTAGTGCCATGCCTGACTACCTGTTGCCTTGCTCCCTTTCTTGATGGCCATGGACTCTAAGTCCCTGAAACGCTTTCTTTTTGCAATTGCCCTGGTCTTGTCTTATCACATCAACAGCCCGCTTGTCTGTCTGTGCACCAAGTGAGTGCAGATGCCTGAGGAGGGTCTGTAACATCACGGGATTGGAGTTTTTGTAGGTCGGAGAGCCACCACGTGGGTTGGATGCTGAACCTGGACTCTTTGCAAGAATAAGCTCTTTTATCTGATGCACCATCTCTCCAGCCCCCAAAGTGACATTTTTTTTTTGTAGGAATAGGAAAAAGAAAAAGAAAAAAGTCCTAAAATGTATATGGAATGTGATTGGAGCCCCAGCAGTCACAAAGCTTTTTTGTATCTGTGGCAGTCACATTTTTTTTTATTTTTAAATTTTAAAACATACTTTAATCCCATGGTAATCAAAATAGAGCTGTACTGGCATACGGACAGATACAGATGAGTAACATAGAATAGAGACTAAACTTTCAAATGTACAGTTATTGACTTTAAACACTTTTAAAGGTGTGTGTGTGTGTGTGTGTGTGTGTGTGTGTGTGTGTGTACAGGGAGCATGGGAAAGTAATCTTCTACCACATGAGTCCTTGGGATGGGATAAAGATTGTCAGGCTTAGTGGCAGGCACCTTTACACACTGAGGCACGTTGCTGGGCCCTAAGTAACTTTTAATAAGATACCTTTGATAACTCAAGCGATATGACAGAATTTGTTGATCCCCCAAGAGACCTTGCCCTCTCTGAGGAGTGGCTGGGGGGGGGGATGTGGTGGGGAGAAGCTGGGATGCCATGTAAAATAAGATTGTTTTAAAAATAATTTTAGAAAAAGATTACTGATAACTGTTCAAGAGGGGACAAATGGCCTTTTAAATTGTTTGTTTATTTTGTATTGTATATTCATTGTATGAAGTGGTAGGTTTCATAGTAACACTTTTGATTAACTATATCATATATGTCAGTGGTCCTCAGCCTTCCTAGTGCTGCTACCCTTTAATACAGTGAGTGACCCAACCATTAAATTATTTTCATGGCTACTTCATAAATGTAATTTTGCTATGGTAATGACTCACAATGTAAATAGTTTTGGAGATAGAGGTCTTCCAAAGGGGTTGCAACCCACAAGTTGAAAACCGCTGACGTATGTCATGTATGTTTCCCACATTCACTTCCCATCACCCTCTCGGATGGTCTTCCTGACTAATGGAGCTGAGGAAACTGGTTATTGATGTGCACAGGAATAAGCCTGAAGCCTTACCTTGCACTGCATACAAATGCAAACTCAGAAGAGACCAAAATCCTAGGACTTTAGAATAGGAAACACAGGGAGCTAAGCCATGTGGTACACTCATGTCTTTCCAGCGTGTGGGAGGTAGAGGTGGAAGGCTAGGAGCTCAGGGTAATCTTTGACCACACAGCAAGTTCGAGGCCAGTCTGAACTACATGAGACCCTTAACCCCAAACAAAAAAATTCTCCAGGGTACAGGTGTTAGTTAGCATTACATTTGGCAGTGATATTTTTGGCTTTGATATGAAAAACATAGACTGCAAAAGAAACAAAGTAGTTCAAAATATATCATTTTGTGTTTTAACTAAATGCAACGCAGTTTAAAGGCAAAACAAAACAGGAGAAAGACTATTTTCGAATCACACTTGACAAGAGATTAATCTAACTGTGCCTCCGGTGCTAACCTTCAACTTGTTGAAAGGTGAGACAGAGAGGCAAGGTAAGCATCAATATGACAGGCCAACACAGACCAGGCAGCATTCTGAAAGTTAAATCATTGGGCAAAGGTGTAGCAGAACACTGAAAAATGCCTGAAAAGGCAACAGAAAGCAATGTCTGAACCTTGACTGGATTCTGGATTCTAGCTGGGTTGGGGTGGGGAGGACCTTCGAAACATTCTTCAAATAACTCGGAAAGCATGAATCTGTGTTTTGCTTTAGAGATGAATTATTGATGTTGTCAAGCATAAAGGATTGCCTCCTAAAAGTTGCTTTTTAGAGACTTCTTCCAGTGTTCTTGAGATGGCTCAGTGGGTAAAGGTGTCTGCCTGCCACCAAGCCTGGCAACCTGGTATGATCTCTGGGACACACAGTAGAAAAAAAAAGAAGGAAAGAAAGAGAGGGGGGAGAGATGGAGGGAGAGAGGAAGGGAGGGAGAGAGGGAGGGAGGGAGGGAGGGAGGACTTCTAAAAGTTGTCTTCTGATTTGTGTGTGTGTGTGTGTGTATGTGTGTGTGTATGTGTGTGTGTGTGGATCCTGACCGGATGTAACACACACACACACACACATACACACACACACACACACACAGAGAGAGAGAGAGAGAGAGATGCAGAGATATAGAGACAGTACAGCCCACAATTCTTAGACTTTTCTCTTTCTCATAGATTGCACACGTTTCAAAGTACAAAGCTCAGAGTAAAGAAAGCTGCCAAGCCATGTAAATCATGCCACTTCAAATGGTTAGCTCTGTGAGACCATGACTTGCAAACACAGAGCTGTATGGTGCTGGCCCTGTGAAAGCAGTGTAGAACTATGTGCACCTTCCTGTTCCTCAGACACAGGTGCAAATGGTGTGCTCTTCGGGTACACCCTGACCCTACCAGATGTGATGGCTCGTGATGGTGCCTCGTGGTGGGGCAAGGCAGGAGGGAACATGGGAGCTTTGTGAACTGAAGGGAAGGGCAATAATGTGTGCTGGATAAAATTACCTCCGTGTCATTTTGGCTGTCATTTGCCTATGGATACAAGTCAACTGTGGCTCCAAAAGCAAGCCAGATAGCCACGCACCTGGGTTAATGGTTGGTGGGGATGGAGGAGGCAGGGGCCTGCCCTCTCTAATGGCTAGAGTGCATTGTTTTGCTGATCGAATTGCATTGATGAAGTCCTCATGCTGCTGTCTCCAGTTGGATTTCTTCATGGGCTGAGCCTGTAAGAAACAAAACCAAGCCAGTATCTAGACTACCCTAGACTGCACACTGATCAACAGGTTTTTATTTTAATAACTAGACTTTGCATTCATAGCAAATGGGGTCATGCAATTTGCAAAGAGAAAAATTTCTTGAAGAGAAAAAATTTTCCTCAAGAGAACTATTTGCAGAAGTTTGCAAACTACAGCAATATAATTCATAAGTCATAACAGTGACACACAAAAAAGAAAGAAAGAAAAAGAAAAAGAAAAAACCCACAAAATAAAAATCAGAAGCTGGCCATTGGTGGCGCATACCTTTAATCCCAGTGCTTAGGAGGCAGAGGCAGGATGATCTCTGTGAATTTGAGGCCAGCCTGGTCTACAGAGTGAGTTCCAGGACTACATACAGAGAAACCCTGTCTCGAAAAACAAACAAACAAACAAAATATCAGAGAAACAATGACATCACAAAACCTCACAGACAGATTCAAGGTCATTTCTTAAATTTTTGTTTGGAAATTACTTTTTTACCCATTTATCGTGTGTGTGTGTGTGTGTGTGTGTGTGTGTGTGTGTGTGTGTGTGTATACCACAGCATGTGTGGAGTATCAGAGGATAGCCCTTGGGAGTGGGTTTTTCACATGTGGTTCCCTGGGGACCAAGCTCAGGGTTTCTTGCTGACCCTGTTAGTATTGAGGCATCGGGATACACTCTTAGCTATAGCCAATAAGAGCACATCAACCTGTGCACATTCACTATGCTCTCTTTTAAAATGGCCCTGCTACTGCTCCTCTCTCCCCTCTCTCTCCCCCTCCCTCCCTCTCTCTTCCAGAGGCTGGTCTCCTGTCTCCCCTCCCCACTTTCCCATTCATTTTCCCCCAATAAAATCCCCTCCATCCGAGCTCTGCTGCATGGCGTCTTTCTTTCAAGTGCCGCTTTTTAAAAATTACAGCGGGTCCCAGTGGTAACTTCCTTACCGGTATGGGTGTGCACCCGCAATCTTGGCACTAGCACTGGGGAAGTTGAGGCAGCAGGATCAGGAACTTAAAAGCTGGGTGGGCTACGTGGCCAGTTCATGGCCAACCTTTGCTATCCAGTGAAACCTTATCTCACAGGTGGGAGAAAAGTAACTTTTCCCAGGCCACTTTCTAGACCGATGGGCATTCTACTGAAAATGTAAACAGGATTCTTTCAACTACATCTGGAAAGTATCTGCAATGATTTGGAAACCTAAGCAAGATTATACAGAAAACAGTAAAGGTGGATTATATTTAAATTCCATTACAGCGCCTTATCAAGGGGAAAAAAAAATGAAATCAGAGCGCCAAGAAATCAGCTAAAATGTACTTTCTATATTGAGAAGTAAAGAAATCGTTGGCATACCTTGGTCTGTGGAGGCTTACTTACAGTGGGAATGTCAGTTCCCTGTAATCTTTGCTTCAAGGAGTTGAAGGGCTTTCGTTTTTTGTTGAATAGTTTTTTACATATCGGCTCATGTCTTTCCTAGACGAGGAAGGGTTGGGAAAACGTATGCTCGTGAAGTTTTAAAGACTCCATACTTAGCCTCCAGGATGATGATGGGCTAGTGTCTAGACCACAGTAGAGGAAACCCATCAGCTCCCCATGTCATGTCAGACATGGCTTAATACTGTATTTAGGGAAAGCCAACAAAAGGTGTTTTACAGTTTCCGGTATCTGTGGGTCTTTAAGAGGTGAGGTCTTCTGGGCAGTGGTGGTGGCACAGCCTTTAATCCCAGCACTCGGGAGGCAGAGGCAGGCAGATCTCTGTGAGTCTGAGGTCAGCCTGGTCTAGAAAGTAAGATCTAGGACAGCCAGGACTGCACAGAGAAATCCTGTCTAAAAAGGGAAAGAAAAGAAAACCAAAACAGAAAGAGGTGAGGTTTAAGCTGGAAATGGAGGTGCAGGCTTGTGCTTTAGTATCAGGGGAGCCCCCAGGGAATAGGGTTGTGAGTGTGAGGCACCCTGGCCACATAAAGAGACCCTGAATCAACAGCAGGACAGCCAAAATAGATGAGTTCCTAGTGGGAGGAGTTCCGGTCATCAGAGGTGTGCATCCATTCAAGGAACCGTGACGCACACTTGGACTTCCTTCTTTTGCTTACTGTTCCTGAGTGGGAAAGCTTTGCCTACAGCCATAGGACCAAAGCAACGGAGCTAATGCCTCACTAGATGACATCTTTAAAAGCGGGACAAGGGTAATTAATCTTTTTGATTTATAATGTGATGATCTCAGGTACTTCGTTATAGCGATGGAAAGCTAACACACTAGCTAAAGACTTGAAATTCGATTTTACATCTTGGACTCTAGAAATGAGGCTGTATGCTCTTTACTCCAGCCAGTAGCCTTTTAAATACCCAACATTGCTAAAGGGAAACCTGGACGACACAGAGCTCTGCTTCGTATCCCTGCATAAAGCTATGGTATAGTGACTTGAATAAGAAATGGCTGTCATAGGCTCCTGTACTTGGTGCGCACTTTGGGGCACTCTGTGAAGATGCTATCGGACCTTTAGGGGTGGAGCCTTGCTGGCCTATTTCCTGTTTGTTTACTCTGCGTCCTCCATTTAGATAAAATGTGATCAGCCAGCTTCCTGCCACCATTTACAAAGTTGCTTTGTCTAGATCCCCAAAATGCGGCTTCTATAAAAATCTGTGCTCCTCCAAGTCATCCGTGGGAAAGTTACGAGACCACATGACTGAGTGTTCTGTAATGCTTGGAGACAAGGTTTCGGAGTGAGGCTCAGGAGTAGGTGAAGGCATTTATTTAGTGATCCTTTCCACAGGTCCCGCCTGGGGCTCAACCCTCACAGAGGTGCAGCTCCAGCCGGCAAAGTTAACTGTGCTGAAAGGCACTGGTAGACCCTGGACTGTACCAGGCCTGCATGAGCTACTCTGGTAGCTTCAGGAGCTTCAATCACAGTTTATCCAGAACAGATATTTCATTTCCAAAATTTTCCAGAAAAACAAGACCTACAAGCCTCAGTTTGGAGGTCCCTTGTGGTCCAAACCCTAAATCCTGCAAGTTCAATATAATATCCCATGATCTAAAATATCCAAATGATTACCTTATCATCTTAAGAATTCCTTTAAAAAAAATTATCTTTCTTGGCTATCTCTTTACAATACTAGGGTGTACCATTTGTTTGAAACTCCCCCCCCCCACGCGCCTCAAGTTTGAAATAATCTAAACTTTTTTTTTCAACTTTAAAGCCTGGGAACTTGACATGTAGCTAGTTCATGTCTGGAAAATGAGATCTCAGAGCAGGCTTGGATCCATACTTTATTTGTTCAAATGGCATAAGCCCCCTTTGAAATCAGAGCGTTCCATGGACGCTGCAAGGCAGAAAACAGGAAGGTTACAGGACTTGTCAGAATTAGTGACAAATTTGCAGCTACGAGCCAAGTTTCCAGATGCCTGAAATCCAATGCTCATTCCTCTCGACCAGCTAATTTCCCTGGTGTTTTGGCCTTGAAATTTGAATTTTTGATGCTTAAAGAAAAGGCGGAAGAGGGAAAAATCTCTCAAGGGAGAGCGGTCTGTGCCAAGACCATTCCATCTGGCATGCTTTCGGGGAGCCCATGGTTAACAGGGTCACTTCTGAACGTGGCATTATCAGTCTGCCTCGGTGTCCTCCAGGCCTGGCAGCCAGAGGTTGTGTACTTCTCCCCCCGCCCCTCTCCACATCTGTCTTTAATCCTGGCACCCTCGCCTCCTCACTGACTTGACAGTTCATTTAACTCCAATGAAACACATCTACAAAACGTCTTTATGTTTACCAGAACATCTGCTGCGAAGCATCTCCCACAGACTTCACAGGGAAAGAGCTTCTTATTGCCATCTGTGTGAGAGTCAAGAGCACATTACGGTAAGTTTCATGGAATTGCCTGGCTGAGGAAAGACGACGACTGCAGTGACCTCAGCTGCCTGTCAGCCCCACAGTTGTCCATCCCCGCCACCTGCTTCCTCCGCCTCGGAAGAGCCTTTGCAATCCCCCAAGTTTTCCTTTCCTAATATAAACTTCTCACCTCACCAAACAAGTAAATGACACAAACTTGAGGCAAACTGGGTTGACTCATTTGCTTTGGTAGGTAAATAGGGTGCCCAGAGCTAGGCACGAGACATAAGCACGGAGGTAATATATTAGCGTAAAGTCACAAATTATCTGATGGTGACATCTTTGGGACAGACTGGTTCATGCCTTCCCTGGACAAAGGGAAGTGCTCCCTAAGTGTCTGGAGTGGTGGCTCAGTAAGGTAAGGTCCTTGTGCAGGCGTGAGCGCTTGGTTGTGGCTCCCCAGTACTTAAATAAATGCTGCCTACATCTGCAACTCAACTCCAGCACTGGAGGGAAGTTAGATGGGCAGATCCTGGGGTTTCACTGGCCAGCCAGTCTAGCCAATCAGCGGGACTCAGGTTCAAGTGAGAGACCCTATCTCAAAATAAAATAAAATAAAATAAGATGAAGACAATTAAGAGATACACAGCACCAACCTCTGGCCTCCCTACCACACACACACACACACACTTAGAAAATAAGCAAAAATTCAGTACTGCTTTTAGATATAATTCAAACAAAAATGGAGTTTCTGTCACAGGGCTAACAAATCTTGCAAGAAAAAAATATACCAAAGGAACCCATACACAGGTTCAACAAAGAAAAATGACAGAAAATAAGTCAGAAGATTAATTACTTTAAAAGAAGCTAGAGAAAATCAAAACATTATAAACTTCTGAGATTTCACTTTTTAGTATTTCTTTTTGGTTTGTCTGAATTTGAGTATGGAAACTCTATTTTTTTTAAGTTTCAGGTCTCAGCATAGAAGTTTATACTGGAATAAAAATATGGCATTTACTCCATAGACAAGGAGGGACATCTTGGGATACTGGGTGGGCCTTAAGAGCCCTGCACAGAGCTGTGGACTTGAAGATGGACAGGGGTGTGATTGCTCTCACACTGGAACGGGGTCTTAAACAGGAGAGGAAGGTGTATCAAGAATCTCCAACAGGACTGGTCTTTGGGGATGAGGGGGGGAGGGAAGTTCCACAAAGAGGAATGCTTGGGGGCGATGCTAAGTTTACAGGCAGAAAGCCTGAGAAGACAGTGGGTCTGTGGATAGAAATAGGGAGTTGGAAAAAGAAAAATCCATCTTAGGAAGAAAAATGACCCCAGTCTTGGAAATACTGAGTTCAACAGCGTTGTCCAGCCAGCAGGATGGAGATGAGGGAGGTCAGGGTGGGGGGACACAGATGTAGGTTTGCAGGACACTGCCAGGGAAAGAAGTCTTGGAAAAAGCAGTGGAGGGAGGATCCTCAGGGAAACTTCCCCTTAAGGCCAAGAAAATGATGGTGATAAGCCAGGAGAAGCAGAGAGCACGATAGAAACCAACAGGAGAACCATGTGTAAAAGGGAGTCTGCTTAACAGGAAGCAGATGGCAGGCAGGCTGTACAGACGTTGTTGATTTAAACAGTTTCTTCACAGGTCTGCTAGTTGGAATTGTGTTCTCAGCACAGGCCATCCACCTCAGCCCACAGAAAACCCCCCTCCTGTCCTTCCCAGTGTCCCCAAAACTGGGTCTTAAAAGACTTTTCAGCAAAGTTAGCCCCCCCCCATCATTTCCTCCAACATTTACTGTCCTTATTCGTGTCACAGTCATATTTATTTGGTCCTCTCCATGTCTAGGTTATTCCATGGGCTCTTCATAGTAACCCTGTAAGACACAGCTGGTGTCCTTTTAACAAAGCAAATGGAGGCTAAAAGTCAAGTGACTTCTCTCAGTCCACAAATTGCAAAATGAGATTTGAACCTCAGTCCCTTGTCGCTACAAAAATTAAGACAAAAATTCAACTGTAGGTTTATGATATCCCCGTTAATCTACGAAGGATCCAGAAACCCCGGGAAGACCAATGATCTTTGGTTTAAATCAGCGAGTTTTAACGAGTTCAAGGACTTTAAAATAACAGGTACAACCCAGTTAAAAACTTGGATATGGATGGACTACTCCATTCGGAATGACATTCACATTGGAAGCTTGTCTCTAAGAAATGAAAAGAAGCTGTGGGAATGGTTAAGAAAGCTGAGTTCCAAGTTGAGGAAGGTAGATGTGAGTGTAGAATGAGGAAAATTTCCCTCTGTGTGATGGAAGAGATTTGGACCTTCACTGATGGATGCTGATGGTTACATTATGTCCAACAGTACAGCGCTAAGAACCCTCATTATAGTGACGGCATTTACTGGTTCAGACATGGCAGTGCAGCTGTTCAACAAGAAGCTTGGGTGAAAGCTGGGTTAAGGGTGCAAAGGGACCCCTTGGCTATATTGTCACTTTTTGCAAAACTATGCATAGTTTGTTGAAATGAAGCATTAAAATAGGAGCGAGCAAAACCGTGGTCTGTGGACATACCTGAGGCTGAATATATTTGAAAATGCAGTGTTATGGGACTGCCCTATACTCATTTCTTTGTATCTATCCTTGCTTTCATACTGCAAAAAAGCTATTATGTGGCCACTCATGAATGTGGGTTGATGACTGACAGATGAGAATAGAGCAGCTGACAATCCCTTTGTAATGCCAATACGTAGGAGGCAAGAGGACTGCCTTGAACCCAACTCTACCCTGAACTAAAGAAAGAGACTAAAAAGGTATGTACACACCTTTAACTCCAGCACTTTCAGAGATAGGAGTCTGAAGTCATACTGGTTTATAGAACCTATAGAACAGCTAGGGCTGCACAGATAAACCCTATATAGAAAAACAAAACAGAAACCACACACACACACACACACACACACACACACACACACGCACGCACGCACGCACGCACGCACGCACACACACAAACCAAAACCCCCTTCAATCAATCAACTAACTAACCAACCAACCAACCAATTAACCAACCAAAAGAATTTATGAGTTACATGTTGACAAAAAGAAACACAGAGCCTGGCTGTGATGGAGCATGCCTTTAATCCCAAAACTTGGGAGGCAGAAGCAGCTGGATCTCTGTGAGTTCAAGGCCAGCACGGTCTACAGATAAGGCTACACAGAAAAAACTTGTCTTGAATATGACTGTAAACATAAACACAGAGTAATTTGCATGGTAAAAGTGACAAACATCAATTTCCTGCATTTTCTTTTCAGGCTAGGGCTGTAGCTATGCACCTACAGAGGTGGAAGTCTTGGTGAACTCAGAAGCTGCAAACACAAGCCAAGCATGCATTTGGCAAGCATGACTCCTCACACACCAGAAGGCTTGTGGGATTCACTCAGTACCTTGCTGGCTGACTGGCGCACACAGGTGCACACACTCTAGAAGCTGAAGTGAGACCTAGGGGCTCTTTAGGTCATCTCTAAGACACCTCAACAAAGAGTTGCGAATGCTGCCTTCAGAGGTAGGTTTGTGCTTCTAGTAGGTTCAAAGATAAGGAAGCTGTGTCAAGGGGTATCATGTAAAGAAAAGGGGGTAATGTTTAGTGTAGCAGACTGGTTAGTTTATCAATGAGTGGAGGGGTCCTCAAACAGAATGGATCCTGAGGCCACTTGCTTCTGTGTTCTATTTCTTATTTGCACAACAGGCATGTTTACATATTACTTATTTTACCCTAACTTAAAAAGCACTGGAATCTTTATATTCTGCCCTCTAACTAGATCCAGCAGGCATGTTGAAAGCAAACCACTGTCAACATGTAAAAACAACAGTGCATATGTGAACAGGGGTTAGGGTCAGGATTGCTCTCCACTGAGGTGGTATAATGATGTCATAATGCAGGTTATAGAGACCACACATGTATACAGTGCATCAAGACAGCATGTACAAATGGCCCCAGGAGCGAAGACACACAGACTTATAATACTACCAAAGTGTCTAATAAGAAAGCTTTGAAACCAATCCGAGACAATGCTCAAACAAGACTAAAGCTCAGTAGGCAGGGTCAGTGACCTGAGTTCAATTCCCAGAAGCCACATGAAGAGCCAAGTCCAGAACACACAATAACAAAAAAGTGAAATAAAATTTCACAATGCCTACTTGGGGTGGTTTTCTCCTTGCTACCCCTACATCTTACCCCTGTACTGCCCCAAGTTGAAGCCATTCTTTTATGAAGTGTCTTAGCCTGGTCGCACCCATACCTATGCATTTAACAATCCACCAAATTCCAGGCGCTAGCTTGGCCAGCAGGATGAAGTGATAAAGGTTTTGACCCTCAACCTTCCTCTAGTCAGAGACGATCCTGAGAGGCGGCCTTGTACGCCAGTGCTAAGCACAGAGCAGGAGAGTGAGCGCTAGGGAGGAAGGCCTGCTTTTTAAACACGTACTCAGTGAAAATCACCTCAGACAGACCACAAACTTGATGTCTTATCTAAAGACTTCAGGGGAATAGTGAGCACCCAGGTCCTCAGCACAAGTGGTACTTGTCACAGTGATGGCATCAGCACTTATCTGTCCTTCTGAACCGTCTCCAACCAAGTAGAGCTCGAAGGCAAAATCCCTCTTATCTCTCCACTCCTATCATTCAGGACGGAGCTGTTCCCTTTTCAACACTGTTCACAGAACTAAAAACTGAGGATTTGGGGTGTGTGTGTTTGGGAGGGGGGGGGGTTTCAGGTCTGGTGTGTGCAGGGAGAACTTGCTAACAAATTCTAGCAATTGATTCACGTCACCACGAAACTGTTCTCCAGAATACAATTACAGTCTTGAAGCTAAATTAATCAGCCCCCATAGCAATCGGCATCTCAAGACTGAGGGCCGAGTTGCATCGTCTTATTCACAAGCGATCAATTTGAATAGGACCAGGGCAGTAACACCTTGTGCCCAAGACTCTTGAAGGTTGGGAGACGCTTAACATGGCCCAGCCACTTAAGATTTTCACTTCCAACGTTCACATAAAACATCAACTAACTCTGTTTCCACGGGTCAGCATTTAAGCACACACTCCCTCAATGGCAAACTGTATGCTCTTTCTGATTTTTACTTTCGGTTGTTAACTGTTACCAGAATGGAATTTTACGAGTTTGTCACCACTCTAAAAGAAATACAATAATTAAAGATTTACGTGAATAAAACTGCCTATCAGCTTTGGAACAGACTTACTTAACTAGCCGGTGATGAGACCTCTAAAAATCTAGCCATCAAGGGCAGCTTACCTGCCACAGGTGGCAGTGCCTCAGCCATTTTGTTCCCCACTGTGACCAACAGTGTCCACACTGGTCAGGGGCAAATGGGCAAAGGTCAGTGAGAAGTCAGTTTACCAAATAATGAACATTATGATGGAGTCATTGCCTAAGCCTTGAATCAGTCTCTAGATGTCAAAACAAGAACATCTCATCAAAACCTGGGACCTTCTGAGTATGTATTTTAGTAAGCTGTGGATGGTTCCAAACATTATGCAACGTCGGGGAGACAAACTTTCTAGGTTACAGTGAAGTAAGTATCCCTGATGGCTCCAGCTATGCTGGTCCTAAATCCCAAAGGGAGCGAGCCATCTGGTCCTAGGGCAGGAAATCCCAACCACAACTGCAGTCCGTGCCCCTGTCAGTCCCTTTGACAAGGTCGTTTGGTGGACACGGGAAAATCAGCTCTTGCCCGTGGAATCTTCTCAGGAACAGTCTTCTCAGCACTGAGAATAAACTCAGCATTTCAAAACTGAGCTTAACCAGACCACCCCTCTACAGACGGCAAATTAAACCATGTAATTCCCGAGGAGGCGTGGAGAGGTTTCAAAGAAATATTTGAGAACATTTGAGAACATCTGCAAAGAACAACTTTGACAACCATACAAATAAATGAACACACCAATTCCGTGCAAGTTAGAAAGACATTTTCCTTTAATTTATCCAAACATTTTACTTTCATGAAGTCATTTATTTCAGAGGGAGTATATGCTTATAATGTTAAAGCCAAAACATTGTAATATTTACAAGGTAGCTGACAAGAGACCCTTACTTGTATAAAAATACAAACACTCTACTTTTGTCAGCTATTGGCCTATAAACATGACGGGGGCAAGTTCACCCCTTAAGGCCCTGGTTAATTACGGAGCACGGAGCGCGGCTCCACGGCAAGTTCACCTCTTAAGGCCCTGGTTAATTACGGAGCACGGAGCGCGGCTCTACACATTACAGCTTTAGACCCTCGATACTCTTCAAGTTCAGCAGCTCCTTTTCCTGCCTTCTTTTCTCCAGTTTGAATGCTAGTTTGTTGGCTTTCTTTTCAACTCTTCGTTCCTGCACAAGAGGGTCCCCAGGTTACACGTTTACAGACTCTGTCCACAGAAGAGAACTTACGCCACACCCCACACCCCCCCAGCAGCTTTCTGCAGGCCCCGTATCAGGCAGCGCGGTTACCTTACGCTCCTCTTTTATGGCTTGCTTTCTGGCTTTCCTGTCCTCTTTGCTCTCACTTTTGGGCCGTGGCTGGGTTGACACCTTGGGTAGATCACTGCTATTGATCATCTGCATCCGTTCTACCTGCTTTGCCGTGAGTCCCTTCTTAGGTAACACATTGAGAGGTATCCCCGTTTTAGAAGACAGGTAGATCTGTTTGGGCTGAAACAGGGGTAAAATAGCACTGGAGTTACTTCCCATTCCTATGCAGAACAGCTCACTAATTAATGACAAACTGCTGCCGCTTTCCTAATAGCTACGCTAGCCACAAAGGTTACTGTGAGAAAAGGGCCTTAAAGGTAATTTTTTATTTTTAGTGTGTATCTGCAGGAGTGCATGCCGTTATGTATGGGTGCCCCCAGAGGCCAGAAGAGGGCGTCACATCCTTGGGAGCGACATCTCCCAACCGATGTGTGGTGAGCTGTGAACCAAGTTGGGTCCTAGGAACCAGCAGGCAGCGATGTCAACTGTTGACATCTCCAGCCCTATCTCCAGCCCTGCAAGCGGTACTCTAACAAGCTTCAGATGTCAGCACTTACCTTGGGTTCATATCTGATGAGCTGTGGATGGTTGTACAAATTGGAGTATGTACCTGGGAAAAGATCACGTCTCACCTGAGTACACTGTTCAGCTTGGCAACAGCAACACACGACGCAGCACAGCGCATTCCCAGCCTTGCTGCGGTTTGTTGTTGTTGTTTTTAATTTTTTTTTTCGAGACAGGGTTTCTCCGTATTGCTTCGGAGCCTGTCCTGGAACTCGCTCTGTAGAGCAGGCTGGCCTGGAACTCACAGAGATCCGCCCGCCTCTGCCTCCCGGGTGCTGGGACTAAAGGCGTGCGCCCCCACGGCCCGGCCAGGCACATGGGAGCCTCTTTACAACTCAACAGCAGAACAGTGGGACTGTCGCTTCTAAGTTGCGCCTGCCCTCCCACACTCCCTTACACTGCTGGCGCTTTGGAAGCTGGGCGGGCGGGCGGGCGGCTGGTGAGACACTCACTGCAGATGGACTCGCAATCCCACTTCTCTCGGGCTTCCTGAAGGACCACGGTGACCATGTCTTCCTTGGCAGACTCATCAAGCTCATCTGCCGGCAGCTCTGGGTCCTCAAACGGCTCAAGAGTGCTCAATTTTACACAACTGCTTGGCACATTTTACAAAATGGGAACAGGACAAAGAAATCAACACATTGCACATCAGCAAAAGAGCTCCAAAGACAAGAGCCATTTCAAATCCCACTCCTGTCCTGCCATGTATGTGTCCCTGGTATGTGTCCCCATGCCTAGCCCCTCTCTACCCTTCAGGGGTTTTGCACATGTGCTCTGCTGATAGGCACATCAAATCTAGCTGCATCTCTACAAGCTTCTACATTACACACGATGGCAGATTCCCTAAGATGAACACCAGCTGCTCATCTATCTCTCCAAAGAATGCGCAGAATTCACGTAAAGCCCAGGGCCCCGTTCGTGCTGTGGGAACTGCATGCTGCGCTGTTTCATGGAACAAGACCTGTTAGCAGATTTTAATACATCATCGGCTTCTCTCAGATAAGAGGCGCTTTGATACAGACGCTGACTGAGCAAGGGCTTCACTGGCGAGCTCTGCTAATCAACTGACGAAAAGCTTATCTATTAGCCATAACTGTTCACTTTCCAGAACACCCACCATTTCAGGAAAGAGAAGAAAGCAGACACTTCTAAGTTACGACGATTCCTCAGCCTGAGCCCAGAAGCGCCTTGTTACTTCCCAACTCCAACATCTCTTCATACTTTATTTCCCAGCTCACCCTCAGCTACCGCACCAGGGTCTTCGATTAGTGACAGACTTTGACTTCTCCCCCAATTAGTCATTTGAAGGGAGGAAAACAAAGCAGCTAAAAAAGGGAAGAACTGTCATACTTCTCTGCTTTCTCCTTATAGTAGTCATTCAAAACTTCCTGCAACCGATTGCTGTCTACTTGAATGGAACCTTCCAGTTCTGCGTTATCCAGAGCTCCAATTTCAACATCATCATATTGTTCATAGAACTTGAATACAAACAACAACAACAACAAAAAAGATGCCATGAAAAACATATCGCGAATTAACTATTTATGCATTCTGTTTCTACCAGCCTTACTCGTACAGCGTACTTCAGCACTACTGAAAGCTCACAACTATCATTACTCTATCAGCAGACAGGATATAAAAATAAATAATAAAAGTACTTACTCTACCCAGATTGGGAAATAAAATGCTATGCAGAGATCTCTGCCTCAGAAGACCTTAGGGATAATTTCGCATCTCTCAGTGATGCAGACTAAAGGATCACACTGTTGAAGGAGCCCACTGTATAAACTCCATCCTTGTTCAAATGTTGTTAGCACTGCTTTGCTTTATCTGAACACTTGCATCCTGATGAGTGAGGATGCTTGTGCTTACCAGTGGACAGCTCTTGATAGGAAAGAGGGAAACTTTTGTGATACTGCAGCAAACTTGTACACCCCATACATCTTGAAAGCATTCCTTCATTTGCTCACTACTGACTGAAAAGCTTCAAGTCCTACTACATGCCAGACACTACTACTTTAGGGCTTTGGTGTACACTTGAAAATCTCTGCCGGTGGAGAAATCATATCCTATCCCAATACAAACCTGTAGATAATGTACATATATCAGCACACTAGAGATGGTATCAGAAGGCACAGAGCATGGGACAGAATGGGTGAAGAGAACCTGCATGGATAGCCCTCACAGTACTGTAAACCAGAAGCTGGCCTGTCACAGAAGTCAAACCTGGTATACATCAGGTTTTAAAGGATGCCACTCTACTGTTTTGTTTTTAGTGTTAGTTATTATCTGAAGGACTAACACAATGGGATTTGGTTGCTGCTAAGCCAGCCAACTCTGAGGAAAATAGCAAAAGTTTGCAGAGGATGGTCAGATGCAAAATCAGAACATCAAATCTCAGGAAGAGATGTCAGGGTGTCCCTCAGTTGACCCTGGGGACCTATACAGACTCCTTCCAGGGCCAGACCAGGTGAGGCCCTCATCAATCTTAATGGATCCCAGAGTTTCTAACCCTGAAAGGGTTAACTCTGGCTCCAACCTCTCCCTTGCAGGGGGACATTTCTCAGGGGCCTCACCTTCTCAAACCTCTCATCGTGTAGAGTCAGCTGCTCATTCCTCCTCATGACCGAGGAGGTCATGGAATAGTCTGTGAAACGGCTCTTGGTTTCCTCTTCCCAAAACAGGTGTTTTTTGATGGCTTCCTGAGGTGAGCCAGGGACAGATCTGTCACCTCCATCTGAGAGTGGGCCTGCAGAGCTACAATCATCGCTGTCCCCTTCCTCACTGTCCATGTCTTCCCATTCATTGTCATCGCCACTCCTAGATTCCCTAAGGACAACGGGTCATAAACCACCTGTCAAAACAACTGGGAAACCAACAGAGCACTTCGCACAAACCCGGAAGCTACTTCTGGAAGGCTCTAGAGGAAGCAGCACTAGAAATGGTATGGGCTAATCTGGTACAGTAGGAAAAGCAACCAGCCTTCAAGATCCTGGGATTTAAGTCCACTTACTGACAGTATGTCTCAAAGTTAATTCTTTTCCACTCAGGTATCTTAGAGCACATGCTTTCAAAACTAGAACATGGCTACCCTCCCAGGATAGAAGCACCACACATACGGCAAACCCATTCCCTCTGCTCCTGTCGGCTTATTTGCCCGAACAATGAAGTCATCTTCAAGGAGGTTATCTGGGTCATCAAAATCAAAATCATCATCGAGAGCAGCAACAATGTCAGGATCCAAATCCAGTCGAGGTCCTAAAAGGGTAAGAAAAACTGAGCACAACGAGTATCTTTAATCCCACAAGTTCAAGGTCTACCTCAGCTGCCCCGTGAGCTGGACCCCAGCCTGGACTACAAGAAGCCTCTGCCGCAAAGAAAACAAAACAGAGACCTCAGGGTCCCTGCAGCCCCCAACCCTAGGAGAGCGGGCAGCACGAAAGCACATTCCATGTTTACTTCATACAGCTCTGATGTGTTTATATATTCAGATAAAAGAGACGAAAACCTTTGGTACAGTTTTGGTAGGTAGAATTAAAAAAAATCTATTCTTCGTCAATATCCACCAATAAAAGCACTGCCATTACCAATCTATTCTATTAGACTTTTAGCAAAATTCCCCCATTTCCACCTGCAGAAAGAATCCAGGTTTCAAATTAATTTACTAAAAATAGTTATTTTATTCTTTCACAAATTTTGACCACGACGTTTTAATACACTCCAGCTGGTTCCTTCAGCTATATAACTGTACTGAATAAAATGGGCTCGAGAAAATGTTTCAAGTTCAAATTTTCCTTGACAAAGGCTGCTTGGCCAACAAGCTGGCCCTCCCTATTCCCCAGCTGCATTTTTATTCATCCTTTCACACCCTCCTGGTATGCTAAAATGTACACACCGCCTGTTATTTACATTCCCTCAGTCTTGGACATAGTCAGTTTCCTGTCTGGAATAGCCTTCTTCCCAGCATTCTCTCCTTCCTCCCGACTCCACGTGAGAAAGCAACCGGTCCCATTCACAGAGCCCTCTGAACAAACAACCACAAAAGCAACAAACCAGCTTTGCTATTCCAGCTTCCCGAGGCCAGGTCTGGTGCCTCTGCACCCCATTGAGTACCTTTCCTACAGACAGACATTCTCTCACGGTATGTTTTATTTGGGTTTAACTTAAGATATTATACAGTGACCACTCTGTAAAATAAACTATTGCCAAGAGTGATCTAAGGGCAAGCGTTGGTTAACCTAGGAAAAAATACTAAGTACTGCCTCTGTTTTAACCCATTTTATCCGTGGTACTGCAAGTTTTCTTTAAACATTACTTCTTCCATTTATCTTGAGTGAATCATACAATAGATTTCTTCCAGAGACTTACATGGTATTGTTGAAAATTCTAAGGAGTAATGGTCATCCCTGTTATTTTCCTAAGAGAGCACATGAACATTAAACTTCCCCTTACTAGATTCCCACATTTTCTTTTTTCCCAAATGAGATCTCTAAAGACATAAGAATTTGGTGCATAACACAAAATGCTGATGGCCATATTCCATTATCCAAACTCTACATTTATCTTGATTGTTTCAATCAAGATTGCAAAATCCTATTTCCTTGTGCTTCTTTTAGCAAAACACAAATTTACTCAAATGAAAACTAAGAAGTTAAATTCTTTCCTTTTGGCTGTGAACCTCAGCCACCACCTCGGACCACAACCACCATGACCAGCACAACAAGATATAGCCATGGATGTGGTGTGGTACTTGTATTTTTGGGGTTAACCAGGGCCACCCAATTAGACTTAAGACACATGTTGGTGGCGCACCCTTTAATCCCAGCACTCAGGAGGCAGAGGCAGTCTGTGAGTTCTGAGGCCACCTTAGTCTACAGAGCTAGTTCCAGGACAGGCTGGCTCCAAAGAGATATAGAGAACCCTGTCTGGAAGAAAAAAAAAAAAAAAAAAAAAAAAAAAAATCTGGTACTATAAGCCTAGCCAAACCTATGGCTGACAGGGTCACAGATCCTAGAGGAGAACCTACTATGCCACATCCCTAAATCAGTTTAATTCCCACCTGTATTGCAAATACCCAACAACCAACATAAAAACCCATATGCGGCCCCTGCCCCTCATCCAAGAAGCTTCTCATTGCAGTAGACAAGAGACCAACACAGAAAGCCACAACTGGACAGATGGGAATTGACTGTAGGGGTTAGACCCAGCTGGTAGATCTACAATACAACCCCTACCTAAGGCTCAAGAAACTCAAAGAAGGGAGTGGGAAGATTTTAAGACCAGAAGTCCAAGATGTCTGTTACAAGATAAGATAGTAGGAGTTGCACCCATGGAATCCTAACCATACTGTCACCTAAACAAGACCAAAACAAGACAAAGGGAACACCAGCTGACATTCCAAGTACATGGGTGGACCAGTTCTCTCTCTAGTCTTCTCCACGACAACCTTTGATAGGTTATCTAATCCAAAATGCTCATCCCTAAACACAGACATGGATAACATTAAATGGCTCCAGCTGGCTGTATTTACACATACACATAAGATGAGCAATAATTAAAACAGTCATAAAGTTGAGAGAGAGTAGAGGATGCAGGGGAAGAGAGATTGTGTGTGTGTGTGGGGGGTAGAAATCATGTAAATATGGCACTCATGTATGAAATTTTCCAATAACAAAATAAATGTTGAAAACAAGCTAAACTCACCTGAAACTGGAGCTGCTTTGTTTAACAATCCAACATCCTCCTCAAACTCGGAGGCAAACACGGATGAAGGCAACTTAATCCCAGTGCTCTGAAAAAGGGAATCCCACAGCTGTGAGGGTTATTTAGAAAATACCAACCCAGCATTGTACTGGCTTGAAAAGCATCCTTTCCAAATCCATGTCCACTCAGCCTCAGGCTCAGACCATACCTGAAATAAGGTTTGCTTTGGTTTGTTCCCCGTGGAGCAATGTGATTTACTCATTACTCTGCAACACTCGGGTTGAGACCATATGGACTTAACAGTTGGTCAGCAAGCACCCTGTCCTCATGCATGGATCCAACCATTCACGTGACTAAGGGGTGACAGGTTGAAAGTGGTCTGCTCTGAAGGTCAGCGGGATAGGTCTCTAACACAGTCTATGTAAGGACCTTTACCACCTTCTGTGTTCTACCAGTAGCTGCATTCCCTTGATCTGAAACTTGAGTTCAGTGATTGGCTTGCCCTCACGTGAAGGGGTGAGAGAGATGTGGAGATGGAGGTAGACTGGAGTGGGCCACCCACACGTCAAGGGACTCTGAAGACAGACTGCTGGCAAGTTTCGGAAGTAAGAATTAGATGAGTGATAACACAATCTCCTTGAACCTCCAAGAAGGAACCGAGCCTGCCGTGACCTTGGTTTGGGACTTCCGGCCTCCAGACCTCTGCTGGGAATCACTGTTCGTAGTGACTCGTTACCAGTCTCAGGAGGCTGTTTGGGTCTCTCACCCATGTACCAGCACACATTCTCAACACTCCATGCCCATCCTAACAGGGACCGTTTCAAATACTTCACTAAGAGCATCCAGAATTTGCTCCACACTTTACAACTCTACCTGCCTTGGGGTCTCAAAACGAATGCATCTTTTCTCTTCACACTAGAGATGACATCCTATGGTCCAGTGATGGCACAGCCTCTCTTGGAACCAGCAGTCTTGACTCCGGTGGAGGTCACAAGGCACCTACCTGCTCACTTCACTGTTCCTATACCCTCTGAACTCTCGCAAACCATTTCACTCCCTTGCTTTGGGCAACATCCTAGTTTAACCTTCTTTTTTTCGATTTTATTTTATTTTCTATTGTTGTTGTTGTTGACAGGGTTTCTCTGTGTAACAGCCCTGGCACTCCTGGAACTCACTTTGTAGATCAAGGCTGGCCTTGAACTCAAGAGTTCTGCCTACCCAGAGCATTGGAATTAAAGTTAAGATCCTACTCCAGGCCTACTTAAGGTAACTTAAATGTCTGTTACCTGGTTAAGAGTCCATAGGGCTCACCGCCATGTAATAATTCAGTATAATTTAGTGAGCACGCAAAAGCCTGTCACTGTGATCTAAAACACCACCTATAGTCTTCTCCTAACGGAATGGTCTTCCCGGACAGTGCCACCCGTGATGGTTAGAAATACTTGAAAAAAGAGCTAAAACAAACAGCCTCTGATAAAAATGTGCTATTTTGGGGGAATCCCTCACAGATTTTATACTTTCTGTAGATTACTGTGCTTAGAGTTCAGGATGACACCGAGGTTAAACACACGTAAGCTCTTCTGCCTCAGTGAGGCACAAAACGGGAGGAGCAGTGAGAACCCGCTAGTGACCTGACAGCCTAGGGAAGGGGCGAGAGAGACTGGTTCTATGGCAGAGCTGTGGTGGTGCCCTGCGGGGCCTTACAGGAGAAAAGACACTGATGAGCTGTAGTTATTGCCACTTTCCTCAGGACAATGTCCTGAGACATGACTTCTCCATCTCCTCAGCCATGCACTCTGCCTTGGGTGGGTTAAGATCATGTTTTCAGAGGACAGAAACGCCCAAGCCTTGAGAGGATTAGGATGTCGGAAACAAAAGGAAAACGAGACCCCGCCCCTCCCCGCCATCTCTCCTCTTTGGCTGACGACCCTGATGAAAATCTTTTCTTTCTCGAAGTGCCACGTGACTAAAGAAAGACAAACGGCATGCAAAAGGGGCACTCTGGGCAGAGAAGGACGCTTGCGTGAGTAGCCCTAGGTGCATACGACCATGCCTGCTTGTATTTCCAGGGTCAAGTGCAATACCCATTTGTTGAGAAGATTAACAGCTGTCTTATTACAACCTCTGTTCTCTCTGCTTTGCAGCTTTCACAAAAGTGTTGGAGATCTAAAAACTTCACATTTACAACAGTTTATGATCACGAAGCAATGCTTGAATATGGAATGTCTGTGCTTTTTTTTTTTTCTCCTATGGAAAAATGCTGCCTGACTCAAAGGTTCAGCCTCAAAGCTCTGAACCTGACAAAAAGCTGTTTGTTATCTTGAAAAGAAGTGGCCTGTGCTTTTCCCGAGGGTGTTGATATACAGACGTCTATACAGCTTTAGACAGAGACATGGCATATCTGTGTTCTGCATACGGACACCATTTACTGCCCCCAAGTCACTCACTGACTTGAAAACGAGGGGTCGCTATGCACTGCTGCACAGTTTCGCCTTTACACTGCCCAGGAAGCTTACTGAACACACCGAAGCTTCTTCTTTCTCGTCACTGCTGTATGTGCTCAAGGCAGTGCTGGGGATGAGCTCTGCGGGCCCCGACGGCTCCTTCAGATGCTGTAGGTAGTCATAGTCATCGTCGAAGAACACCCCATACTTCCTCTGCTCCGCTCGTCTTTCTTCATCATTGACCTTGGATAACAAGATGGAATGAGCTATCCTGCCCTGGATAAGATCAGGATCCTTGCAAACAGCACGGATTCCAGGAGGCAGATGGCACACAGATACAGGAATCACACAACTAAGTCTTTTTTCCCCAGACAGGGCTTTTCTGTGTAACAGACCTGGCTGTCCCGGAAGTTGCTTTGTACACCAGGCCGGCCTCGAACTCACCGAGATCTGCCGCCTGCCTCTTTGACTCCCAAGCGCTGGGATTAAAGGTGTGTGCTACCACCGCCCAGCTCACCCAGCTAATTCTTGATCAATACCAAAACTATAGAGCATCCAAACCAAAGTGCTACACAAAAAAATTTAAAAAGTAGAATGGAAACAAGCCAGGCCGAGGCAGACCATTTGAATCATGAGCATAAGACAAGGCAGTAAGTAAGACCTGTCTCAAAGGACCAGGAATGAAAACCATTCCTCCAACTACCCAATTCTGGACAGTTCCAGGTAAGAAATACATGTGACACAAACTCAAAACTGTAGCTGGAGGGTTGCAAGAAAAGACTTGGGGACTTGGAGAGTAACTACAGTTTCTTGTATTTATAAGCAAAGAAAGCTCTTTGGTGTCCCATGGGAGTGGGGTGTTGGTGGCTTTAATAAAGAGCTAAACCAAGGCCAATGCCCCCTAATATTTAAAACATTTTTATTTTTCAATGACTACATGTTTACGTGTGCCTGGGACACACACAGGGCAGGAGAAGCCATCAGATCCTCTGGCAAGGGTTGTTACTGATGGTTGTGAGTCTTCATGTGGGTGCTGGGAACCCAACCTGTGTCCTCTACAACAGCAGCAAGTGCTTTTAAGCACTGGACCTCTCGTATTATCTACCTTCAACAAGTGTATGCTAACATAAACCATCTTTTTTAAGTTGCCTTAGGATTTCCAGAGCTAATTTATGAGATCAGATGTTTTGTATTTCAAGAGAAGAGTGCCCAAGAAGCAAAAATACAAACAGAAGATTATTGAAACATGGCAGAGTCCCAAGGGAAAGCTGAGACTGAACATATGCCCTAAACCATGGAGCACTGTAGGTTGTGGTACTTTACTAATATTCTCTAAGATGTCTTTATTTAACAACCTCAAAGATGCTTTATCCTCTTAAGCAAAATAAATACATGATATCAAACGTCAGTCAGCTCCTAGATGGGAAACTGAGTCACAGCTCATTTCTTAGAGGACCAGAGTCTGTCAGCTGGTTATTAAAAATCTCATAGGGATAGAGGGTATGCCTACCTTCTGGGTGGGCAACAGTACTCTCTGGGGGGCAGTTTCATCAGCTGCTAAAGGATCTCGCTGGCTCCGATGGACCAAGTGGAAAGAGACAGCTTTCTTCTTCTCTATAAAGGGCTTTTTCTTTCTGTGGGGCTACAAGATAATTAGGAAAGGTCAATAAAACAGAATCCCCACAAACCGCACAACCACATGGACCTTCAGTCAGTACGTAGAGGGTGAACAGATTTGTTCAAATCTGCGTATCTAAGCCGTACAACAGGCTCAGTGTTCTGCAGAGACGGTATTTACCTTCTCCAGCAAACATCTACTCTGTGAGTTACCTGTCCAAAGCAGCTGGGGCTTTGGCAGCGGGGACAGTCCGAGACACTCTCCCTTAACCAACAGAGTATTAACGTTAGTGAAGAGGACTCAAACATGGTGAAGTGCAAACTTCTCAAGTCGTTCCTGATGGGAGCTCTGGGACGGTCCCTGAGGAGCTTCGCCCACAAGACAAGGAGCGTGCCATCAGACGGTGTGGAGGGGCCAGGCATGTCCCCTCCTAACTAGTAAACAAAAGCAGGGCGCTGGCAAGTAGTGCTTGGACTTGTCACACTCCTCTAGCCCTGGGTTTTCAACCCCAGAGGCCAACCAGGTGACCTGCGCGACCCGGAAGCAGGGTGCGGAGCGGCTGGAAGTGTCTGGGGGGGGGGGACTGAGTCAACTAACGCCGGGGGCTTGCAAAAGGGGAGCCCTCTCGTCTCCCCCCGAAGTGCACCGGGGTGGGGACGGGACGGAGGTGACAGGTCTCGGGGGCGCCGGGAGCTGCAAACCCAGACACAGCCGGAAGCCGCCGGCTCCCGCCGGGATCACCGCGGCTCTCTCACCATGACGACGGAGCTGGCACCGGCTCTCCGGACCCGCGGAAGCCGATCGAGGGATCGGCGGCTCACCCGGCTTCTCCCGGCCGCGCCACACGTGGGTACTCGGGCCCGGGACGGCACGTCACACCACGGCGTGGTCACGGGCCAATCGCCGAGGAGCGGCTGGCCGGCGGCCGGAAGTTACGCAGCCCTCGCCCGCCTCCGCGCTCGCGGGGACTTCCGGGAGGCGGGGCCATCTGGGCTCCCCGCCCCCGAGTGGGCGTGGCTTCCCTGGCAGGAGTCCTCCCAGTGCAGGAAGGGGGAAGCCCACCTAAGCTGAGGTCTAGCTGAGGTCTTCCTTACCTGTTGCCTGCTGATTGCAAAGGACAACGGACTCTGCACCCGGATCATAGAAGGGAAATGGTCTTGGTTATTCCAGTAAGCCCAGCCAGAAGTCATCAGGGTCCTCATGTTGCGCCTCTTGATAAACTACCTTTAACACACTCCCTGAGATGTACTAGAATGCATCCTGGAGCTCTGATGCTTGCTTCTCTTCTAAGATGAAGACTAATAATCCCAAGATGGTTCCTTCTGAGACACCGTTTCCTGGGGCACAGCCTCTGGTCCAACTATGGATGGATCTTCTTACCTCCCCGCACTAATGCTGGGTGGGTGGGCATGTGCTGCTTATGTGCTGAGAACTGAACCCATCCACGGCTTCCTGCAAGCTAGGTGAGCCTCCTGCCAGGTGATCTATGACTACATCTCCATTCCCCAAGTTGCCGCTCACGTATATGGAGGCTTGAGCAAATAGACTTATAGATATAATTTCTTAGGAAGATTTCCATCAGCTGCTGAAGAGTGGTGAAGTAATCCAAAGTTCTAACAGTTGACATTTCCTCAGCTTTGGTTTTACCTTCCCAGTTTCTGGTGATTTTTTCAATGTCTTGAGTTCTATCAGAATGCCTCTATAATTATAGGCAACATTCTTTCAACCTAAATGTTTGTGGGCTATGTTTTTTTTTTTTTTTTTTCAAGAAAAATAACAAAATGGTTTAGGTTAGGACCACAAAATTTGTCAGGAGAAATGTTTTGTAAAGAAAGATCCTCTTGTCTGTCTCCCGAGTGCTGGGATTAAAGGTGTGGGCCACCACCACCTGCCTATTTAACGTATGTTTAAGCTAGATATCCATCATTATTTGTTATTTGAAAATAAGATCCATGAGGGAACCATTATTTTCATTTGAATCTGTTTTATTTACTATTGTATCTACTTCTTGGTACATATACCCAATAAACATTTGTTTACATGAATTAATGATCTGTCATTTTACCTGCCTAACCTATCACAGTGCAAGAGTTATTTTACTGCAAAGCAAAGTTCCCAGAAGAAAAGGCCGCACTTGTGTTGAAGATTCTACAAGGGTGAATGACCAATTACAATTTTATGGATGTGAAAAGTGGGAATATTGCAGCCCCAAACCAGATTATCTTGGCCTATCTATCTTCAGTCCTCAAAGGAGACACTCATTGTCTGCTCTGAGTCTGACCTAGCCACTGCTTGACTATTAGGTGAAAGATTTGACATCAGTTTTGCAAACCACTGTGTCCACCAATCCCAAAGCTGGTATGAGGAACCACAACAGGGTTTTCCCAGAGCTACTGGAACTATCTACCTGTATTGCCCAGGGAAGTATTGATGACTTCTTCTCCTCCTCCTCCTTCTTCTCTTTCTCCTCCTCCTTCTTAGTATCATCATTTGGCTTTTCAATACAGGCTTTCTCTGTGTATCTCTGGCTGTCCTGGAACTCACTTTTAGACTAGGCTGTCCTTGAACTCACAGAAATCCACTTGCCTTTGTCCCCTGAGTGTGAGGACCTTCCTGACTCCATTATGCTGTATTTTTAAAAATAAGTTTCTGTTTACTGTGAGAGTTTAGTAAAGTTTTTTTGTATTTCCTTATGGCCCCATGTCTCCCTTCTGTAAAACAACTTGTGATTTTACTCCTCAAAGGGGGCCCAAGAGATGTGTTCTGGGCTGCTCTCTTTAACCTGACTTAGAAAGCTTGCTTCAAATTTGGCTCATGTGTGGTAGTGGTCTTATTCTCCCCATTGGGATTAACAAGTGCTGGGATTAGATTTATGATTCTCCAAAACAAAACAAAACAGTTAGTAGACTGAGTGTCCACTCCCACAGTTAATCAGGGCAATTGGGATGTGTGTTCTTGAATGTAGCACTCATGTTTGGTGTAACATTAAATTTTTTTTCCTTTTGAGGTGAGAGATACATTTCTACCAACATTATAAGTACTAGAAAAGGTGGTGTCAACTAAGCCACTCTTTATAGTAAACATAACTAATAGGTGGGAATTCTGAGATGTAAGGTAGAACAGCCTGACAAGAACCTGGGTTTCTAAACCATATTACTTACTGGGGAAAAAAAAAACCCTAAACACACAGCAAAATGCTTTTTATTTATTTAATTCCTTCCATAGGCCCATGAAGATCAACTAGATAATTAATACTTAGCTAATCTCAATGGTATACATCTGTTATTCTGAAAACTGTAGTTACTGATCCAAGGCAGCAGAGTAGGTGAAAAAGCATAGACATGTTCACCACCAGGCTAGTAAATTTAGGAAGGTCATACTCTTACCTATGTTTTTTTGCTGTCTCCCAATGACAGTCAACCAGGATATTCTGTTGTTTTTACTTTCCAAATGTCCGTATGTTTCGTCTCATTACTCAGTTCATTACACTGTTCATTTTAAACACTCATCGGGTCTCTTCCCCAGATACTGGGCACATTCTAGCCTCAGGATAAAGTCACTCTTGGACGGTGATTGAGAGTTCATCTCATTTTAACATCCTGTTATTTTTTTCCAACTCCTCCTCATATCCCAGTCCTGTCAAATTCTTCATAGGTCCCAAAAGCACCTGGGTGAGATGGGCTCTTTCCTGCCTGTCTAAAAGGCTCTCTTCCCCTCCCTGTTCCTTAAGGCTTAGCATTCCGAGTCCCAGGCTGGAGTTGCCCCAAGATGCGTGGCAAGGGAATTCTTGAAGGGGATTTGCCAAACCATTTGGAGATGAGGTCAGTTGATGCTCCGAAGAAAGAAAGAACCAGTAAACACTAGGGGGATCAGTTCAAAGTCCATATGAGGATTTAAGAAATGTGGCTCAGAGCCATGGCAAATTGCTATGGTTGAGCAACATATTTTCATATTTCCTCGCTTTGGGAAATAACCTACACAGCTTCATCAGTGCCTGGGAATGTTCAAGGCTCTATCATGGGTTCAAGCCTACAGGGAAAAAAACACATGCAGCTGGCCAGGTCATGGAACAGTCAAGGTTCTCTGTGTTTCTGTTAGCACGCAGACAGATCTGGGAAGGGGGCTCTCCAGCTCTATCTCTACAACACCTGTGCATGTCTTTCAAACGGAGGGACCTTCCCAAATGCCTTCACTGTGTCTACTGATTACACTACCCTGCTCAGTTCTCCTGACCTGGAAGTCTCTATAGCTGGACATAGTAACTTACTGGCTATGCACTGCATAAAGGCTTTGCACTGCACACCCCACTCAAAGCATTTCACATACGTTCATTCATGGAATCCTCATAAACAGGATTGAAATAATACACCATCGTCTTTAAAAGCATATTTGGGGCAAGTGAGATAGGTCAGCAGATAAAAGCGCTTCCTCCCAGCCTGACGGCTTGAGCTCCATTCCCAGGACCCACACAGAGAGGGGACTTACTCTTGCAAGTTGTCCCCACATTATCACATATGTGGGGAGCCACACATATGCCTCTTCACATACAAGTGCAGATACACATAAACGATAACTATAAATACTGACTTGTAGTCAAGGAATGTAAAGTTTAGTGATTTTTGTTCTTGTGTACAGAGGCAGTCCCTGAAGAATGCGGAGTGTGAACTTAGGTGTAGGTCCTGGCTCCGTGAAATCCTCAGCCACCACAGCACATTCTGTTTCAAAAATAATTTTATGTTATTTTAGCGGGAAATTATTACATTTATATTTAGCAAAGTGCCCATCAATTGATTTGGGGGTGATGATAGTAAATCCAAATCCATACTTTTACTTTCTTATTAGTATTCTGTAATTAACCGCATCTATTTTAAAATGGGTTAAACAGAATTTGTGGTTTTTGTCTGGGCTCTGGAAAGTTGTTTTTCCCATGTGAACTAACTCACCCATTGACAGTGCCTTTATCATGCTTAGAAAATGTCCTCCCAGCAGCCACACTCAAGAATTCCAGGGCAGCAGAAAA